GATGGCAAAGTCTAATCAGTGGACTTGTCGTACAGAATAGTTGTATGTAGTTGAACTGGAATTGTAGTACTTCATTATTAGAGAGCATTTGGATTTCCTTGTCGGACCTGTGCATTTATTTGTACCCTGTTTTTTTTTATTTTTAAAAAGTAACTCAAGGCAGCAAGAACATATTAAACATACCTTTCCCCTCTTGTTTTCTCCACAACAATCCTGTTAGGTGAGTTGGGCTGAGAGATTGTGACTGGCTGAAGGTCACCCAGCTGGCTTTCATGACTAAGGCAGGATTTGAACTCACAGTCTCCCACTTTCTAGCTAACCACTAGACCAAACTATCTATTTGTTCATATTTGTCTTTTGGGGATATCTTTAGGCAGAATGGGATAAATATTCAGAAAAAGGGCAATAAAGAGCTTTAGAAGGGACAATGCTCATTCTCGGGACACCTGTCAATATGAAATAAGAACTGAAGAAAATACATTTCTTGATGTTGGAGTATATTCAAGTAAGGTGGGTCTTGTTCCTGCCAATGCAAGCGCTCTGCCAGTAGTCAGTAATAGTGCTATTCAAAATTTGCAGGTACAGCTTATAAAATAAGCTGTATAACTTATTCAGATATTATACAATATCTGAAAACCCCTTTGCTGTAATTTTTGGATTCTCTAATTAGGCTGGGGATGGTGGTGGTCTGCAAATTAAGTGGAATTTTGGAGACTGATTGTCAATTTGGGCCTAGTCTGACATTGAAGTCTCCTGAAAAGATGATATGGGTAGTCGAAAAGTGTAATTGAATACCCCTTATGTAATTTTTCACTTTTCCCCAAATTTCAAAAACACATGGTTAAGGTATGTTTGGAAATATATAAAAGTTAATGAGAAGCAATTTCTCTTCAGTAAGGGTGAGAATAGTTATTTGTGTAAGGTTATAAGATGGGTCTATTGATATAATCTTAGTATTCAGTGGTTGAAATATGGATGTTCACACCAGCATGATGTTTCCCTCAACCAATGCTAGGAACTGCTGAGAAGGGTAATGATTTATATCACAAATAAAGAGATCATTTGTTGACCAAACAGAATCAATTGGAGGTCTGGCTATTTTATGTGTTGCCACTAGAGGTTCTCTCAAATTGTCCAGTCTTCAATAATATCAACTTGTTCTGAATCTGGCAGAATACTGAAAGAGTTAATTATATATTTCTTTTCCCCAGAACATAATCTGTGCACTGTCTTGCTGTAGGTAAAACAGTTTTTGCATAGAAGACAATCTCTTTGGGGATGGGGGGGGAGAGAGCTAAAGTGTCCTTGAGGTTATCTGAAGTCGTGTGGTCATATTTATTCTTTAAAGTGGCAATACTCCCTCAGTCAGATTTGCTCAGGAGTGAGCCAAATTCCTCTGAGCACAACACATGTTTTAGAAAGACTGAAAAAGTATGAAGAAAAGGCTTCATTTTAAAAACATATTGGGAATTGTGATCTGCATAAAAGTAAGTAAAACTTGCTCTCAGCTTTTGCTAGATGGAAATCTCTCGGCCTGCTGTAAATTAATCAGTTACTTTTCACAGCTTGTAAGTGGTTTAAAGATAATTACTTTCTTTGTTCTCCAGTGAACTTTTTATTCTATTATTTAATATTTGTAAGGTGATTTGTTTAGGCTGTGGATGGTATTACAATTTAAATTTTCCTCTTTTTTAGTTACATGCCCACCGGAGACTTGTTTTTCACTCTTTCCCACAGGAGTAATCAGCTCTCTGATTGTTGCTTTCTCTTTTCCTTGGGGTAAGGTTGCCCATGTTTTCCCTCCTGGCTGCTTTTTGGAACACTTGGGATAAAAAAATCTGTGCTTTAGCACGGTTGTTTTACAAAAATCTTTTAAGGAGTTCACTTTGATATTAACTGTGGACATCATGTCAAAGACAGAAAGCGCTGTTTTGTCGGGTTAGAAAGTTAGTTATACTTTCACTCTTTAAGTTTTATCAGGTTAATATTCACATCCTCGTCCTGTACTAACTGTGCAGCTGCAGAGCAGATTGCAGGATGTGTTCAAACGGGGGAAGAGTTCTCTTCCATTGAGGAGGAGAGATTTTTAAGCTGTTGACTTCTGAACTCTGCTTGTAAATCCCATTCTAAAACATCATATCCAATGGAGAGGTTTGAGGGAGTATGAATACTTACACGAGTTCGCTTCCTTTTCTTTTTGGCTTTCTGCTGTTTTTTGCGCTTGGATGCAGCTTGCCTAGCAGAAAGTATAGGACGTTTCTTGTTATTTTTCCCCATGATGGTTAGAAATGTCCCGGAGTTTTCTCAACTCTTTCTAAGTGCTGAGGCTTCCAACAAGGCAACAGAAGGTAGTATTTAAAACAATAATTTTAAAGTGATAAGAAATAAAAATATAGTGATAAAGAAATACTTTTCCAGAGAAGCTATTTACAGTAGTTGCTGCCTCTCCGCCATCTTAGCTCCTCCTCCTTCTCCTCCAATTGTCTCTCTATATTTGGGGTGGAAACCAAATTAACATCCCATAGCATAGAAAAAATATTTCAGTTGAGCAACTGAATATAAGGCAAAAGGCAAAGGAGAATTAATTTTATTTATTTGCTGGTAAGAAAAATCTGTAAAATATTTAGTTAAGCTTATCTGGGAAAGACAGTGAAGAAAAAAGCCCTTCTTTTTAGTCACTTACTACTTTTGTAACAGTCGTGTGGTAAGAGCTCAAATAGATTGCAAGCCAATAGTATCTATATCCAGAGAAAAAATATTATGTGGTTAGTTTGTTAAACTATTCAATAGGGGCAGCAATAAAATATATATATTAATACTTTTTAAATAATACCTCCCTCTATCAATTGTGTTTATTATGATCTATGATCTATGACCTATTACTTGCTGTTTATATGCACACTATGAGCTTATGCACCAGAGACAAATCCCTTGTGTGTCCAATCACACTTGGCCAATAAAGAATTATATTCTATAATTCTATAGTTATTTATCTCTATAGACAGATAGATCACATGGGACCTGCAAATTGTCTTATTAAAAATAAATAAAACCAAAATCATTCTCTTTCACATGAACTTGGCTGTACAATTCAAGTCCAACAAAGAGATCAGTCTGGTGCTTTTCAAAAACCCAAGCAGAAAGTGATTGAAAGAGGAAGATCACAGAGATCTTTTTCTGAGATATCTCCTGAAGTCTGTAAATGTTACAGGATTAGAATCCTCAGCATTATAATATTTCAACTGCTCAATAATACTATCTACTGGTTCACTATTCTTGATCCAAAGAGTGGGAATCATGCAAGCAATAGGAAATTTTGAATAATAAATCATTAGTAAAATGCTAAATTTTCTGAGGCTGCAGCACTAGTAAGTCACAGGTAATCCTCAACTCATGACCACAATTGAGCCCAAAATTTATGTTCCTAAGTGATGCATTTGTTAAACAAATATTGCTCCATTTTACAACCTGTCTTGCCAAAGTTGTTAAGTGAATCACTACAGTTACTAAATTCACTTTAGTAACTGCAGTGAATCACTGCAGTTACTAAATTCACTAAACATGGTTGTTAAGTGAATCTGGCTTTCCCAATGACATTGCTTGTCAGAAGATCACAAATGGGATCACATGACCCTGGGACACCGTGATAAATGAGTCAATTGCCAAGCATCTAAATTTTGATCACATGACCATGGGGACGTTGCAATACTGGTAAGGATGAAAAATGGTCATAAATCACATTTTTTAGTGCCGTTGTAACTTCAAGCAGTCACTAAGTGAACTGTTGTAAGTTGAAGACTACCTGTACTTAGATGAACTATACTTTTAACACATGAGCAGGAAGAATACATTGCATAAGATATTATTATCACTGACAATTTAAAAATAATCTACAGTATGGGGAAATGATAAATATAGTTTATCTCAATATATTATCTTATATATATAAGATATATCTTAACATAAATTTCTTTGGTAAAGATAAAGTGCAATATTTCTAAATAGGCAAATTTATGATTCTTGTCCTAATATTTGGCATCAAGTATATGCTTCTGTTCTAGTGAGGTTTTCTTTAACCTCTAAAATGATGCAGAAAAAGAAGCAGGTGACGAATGCATAAATCATTACTCAAGAAGACAGCTTTAGAAATTCAGGTAAAAATCAAATCTGCAAACATTATTTACATGTATCTCACAATTCCTCCATTCCACTCATCTCAAAGATAGCCACAAACAAGAGATTTCTTAAACCCAGATTTAATTGTAGCTTTTCATTTTTCAGGTTATTTGTTTTATCAACTTTTCGTCAGTATGTGCATCACAAATTTGAACATTTTTACTCAAGAATTTTATCTTATATTATTTGTTTAGAACACAACTGTCACATTTCAACTAAAGCCTGAAAACTTTATATACCATTTTGTACAGTATTTTCTGCTTTTATCTAATGGTTATAAAACAATTTTTTCTTCACAAAGCCTCTACTTCTCAGCCTTTAGAAGTAAATATAAGATAAAAATAACACATTAGAAAAAAACTATTCCATTATTAGCAATACACATGCTTTCATTTAGCATATTATAAAGACAGTATCTGGTTTCTGGTTTCGAATGATGTATAGCCACAGCTTTTTACAATATATTTATATTTAGGATTTTTTTTAGATATATATCAACATTGAATTCATTTTAATTAAAAGTATAACCTCTGTAAAGACTAAAAATAAAAATATTTCTAAAATTAAACTTCAAACATCAGATCAAATGGAATTATATCCTAGGATGGAGACTGAATTCTGTACAGATGGAAACATCAAATCTTTATTTTTTAAAAAGGCCAAGTGACAGGATTCCAAAAACATCTTGGTACTGATTTCAGGAAAAGTTTAATCTTACTGGGTGATAGGATCCATAAAACATCTCACCTGTATTGCCTCTGTGGGGCGAAAATAAAATCAGGATTCAGAGTTTGCAATATAAGGAAAAATACTTCCATACTTACGGTTGTGGGGGCTGGGGTGGGTGGTGGCGCATAAGATGGCCGTTCTGTTTTAAAAAGAAGTGGGAAAATGACTATGTAGAGGACTGTAACACAGGGACTTCAAATTAAGTTTTATACAGTAAATCAAAATATGAATGAATAAAAAAACCTATGCAATTCTACAACATATTATTCAGACATTGTTATAGGAATGGCCAAGCTGTGGATTTCAAGTTCATATGCAATTCTTGATGTTCCGAGAAGTGAATGAAACAAACAAGTTCAAGAATATTAAAAAATGCAGGTCCTTTATTCTATGTCCTGTTAGTCTCCTAAGTAGACCTTAGACTTATCCTGATTGCTTCTTTTCTCATGTAATTGGACATGTTTAGTCTTTACAAGGGTATGATCTATTTTCTTTTGCTCTGTGAGGGGTATTCTGTGCCTCTGAGGCAGAATAGTTCTAAACCTCTGTCCTTATTCTTCATTTAACAGGTAGCAAAAATTTAATGTGCAAAGAATTTGGCACAAGGGCCTGCCCACAACAACAGTAATGTTCAAACTTTTATTTTGCAAAATATTTTGCAAAAGCACTCATAGCACTTTCAAACTTCAAGGAAGACTGCAAAAAAAAAAAAAAGATTGGGTAGTTAAATCTAAGATTAATTAAATGGTGGTCCACATAAAGGGATCCTAACACAATACAGGGATTTCAGAAAAAGGCACGCATGAATATAACAATGTTTAGAGATGACCAAGTCTGAGAACTATTTTGATAGACTAACTCTAAGTCTAGAGTTAACCCATTATACTGGTTTGAAACCAGACTTTAATATGCATACAACAGATCAAATAAAAAATAATGACTGAAATAACGACTTTACATTTGACTTTGTAAGTTATTTATTGCTATTATTTAATTATTACATCAGCTCATTTTTTTTGTACTTAAAGTGCCACCAGTATTATGACCATCCTTATGCATGTGGAGAATCACAGAGCTAGCTGTATATTTGACATCTAAAACTGAACTAATATATTCATCTTATTTAGAAATAATAGGCTCAAATACAAGTAGCCCTTGACTAATGACCACCGAGTCCAAAATTTATGTTGCTAAGTGAGACATTTGTTAAACGAGTTTTGCCCCATTTCACGATTTTATTGCCACAGTTGTTAAGTGAATCTGGCTTCCCTATTGACTGAAAAAGGTGACATGATCCCGGCACACTGTAACCATCATAAATATGAACCAGTTGCCAAGCATTCGAATTTTGATCACATGACCATTGGGATGCTCCAAGGATCGTAAGTATGAAAAATGATCTAATTCATTTTTTTTCCAGTTCAGTTGTAACTCTGAATAATCACTAAACTAATTATTGTAAGTTTAGGATTACTTATATAGCTTAAACAATGGCTTATTGAAACTTGGTTTGCTGAATAGTCCATAAAAATTAATTTCACATACTAATTGCCTTTGGTAAAATGGGTGGCATACAAGTGTGATAAATAAAAATAATCCCAAAATATAATACTTGAAGTCACACAATATACAGGTAGTCCTTGACTTTCAACCAAAATTGAGCCCAAAATTTCCATTGTTAAATAATAGTTGTTAAATGAGTTTTGTCCCATTTTATGATCTTTCTTGCCACAATTGTTAAGTAAACCATTGCAGTTGTTAAGTGAATCTGGCTTCCCCATTGATGTAGCTTGTCAGACGGTGATCATGTGGCCTTGGGACACTGCTACCATGATAAATATACACTAGTTGCCAAGTGTTTGAATTTTTATCACATGACAATGGAAGCTGCAATGGTTGTGTGAAAAATGATCATAAGTCAGTTTTTTCAGTGCTGTTATACCTTTGAACAATCACTAAATGAAAAGTTGTAAATTGAGGACTACCTGTATTAACACAAAACCAAAGAAGCCACATTACAATGTATTGTGATATGTTGAACACATATGTGTTAAATGGAGCTTATTCTTATATAGGTTTACCCACAGGTATAACCTATGCTGAGCTATCAAATAATAACTTCTATTACATGAGAAGTTCTAGTACATGAATACTGTAAATTAAGCTAAGAAAAAATACAACTTAACTTACTTGACATTTTGGTAGGTAAAAGATTCAACCAGAGGAAATTAGATCTGAAAAACAACAATAACAACATGCTGTAAAGTAAAGTCTATCTTAGTCTATTATACTGGCTGGTCCAGTGCAGTTCATTAATATCTCCTACAGTTAAAATACATAAATTGAAGAGAATACATAAACACAAACATTCCTTTACTGAATTATAATTTTAAACAATGGTAAACTTATTTGTAGTTTCTGAGCTCTGAAGTATATGAATAATTTACAACCAAGAGTTATTAGTAAAGAAATATATCAAAAACCTTATTTCTCAGAAAATTAGAAACATCTTATATAAATTAATATGGAGACACAATATTTCTGATGTTCAAGTCCTGCTTGTAGTCTACATGTCAATTCAATTTTTTCATTACTACTATGATAATGACCAATTTGGATCACAGAAGTATTTTTACCTATTAGGTATTTTTAGTCATTTTGTATATATGAAGAAATGGAGATATGGAAATATACAATTAGCACAATAGGGGGCAAAATAAATTGTATTTTACATCTATCATTATTTTATTTATTTATTTATTGAATTTATATTGCCACCCATTTGCCCATGGCGACTCAAGGCAGCTTACAGAATATAAAATCACATTTAAAACAATAAAAACTAACAAAAAGAATCAAATAAATTAATATAGTACAATATAACAACAGATCACACAAGCCATTTAATGAGCTCTGGGTTCCCCAGGTCCACTGGCAGAACAAAGTCTTCAGTGCCTTCTGGAAAAGTATAAGAGTGGGGGCCATTCTAATTTCTGGGGGAATGATATTCCAGAGAGAGGGAGCCACCATGGACAAGGCCCTTCTTCTGGGCCCCACCAGTGTATCTCCCTCGGGGATGGGTCCCGCAACATTCCCTACCTCACTGCTCTGGTGGGTCAGGTAGATGTGACCGGCAAGAGCCAGTCCGTCAGATAACCTGGTCCCAAGCCATTATCCATAAGTCATACCTCTTTTATTCTCTTGCATTCTGTTTCTCTATTTAGATAAAGAAATATCTCTGAAACTATGTTGGGTCATGGGTTGTCTAGTGGAATATTAAACATAGAATCATAGGGCTGGAAGCGACCTCAGGTCTTCTAGTCCAACCCACTACTCAAGGCAGGAGACCTTATATCATCCAGATCAAATGGTTGTGCAGTATTTTGAAAACCTCCAATAATGGGGTACCTACAATTCTTTGAGACAAGCTATTCAATTGATTAACTGGTTTCACAGTCAGGAAATTTCTAGAATGGACCTCTTTTAATAAGTTTCCACCCATTACTTCTTGTTCTGCCCTTTGCTCCTTTGTAGAACAAGTCATTTCCTTCTTCTCTGTGTCTGCTTCTCATGTACTGAAAGGCAATTATTATGTCCCTGCAATCCTTCTCTTTGATAGGCTAGACATATCTAACTCCTTCAGCCATTCATCATGATTTAGCCTTTGTTATTTATTTATTGAATTTATTTGCTGCCCATCTCACAGTAAATGACTCTGTAACTTTTCTGTGTACTTTCTCAACACCTTTTTTGTATTGTGACCAAAATTGGATGCAGTATTTCAAGTATAGCCCCACTAGTGTGTTATAAAGTGATATTATCAATTCTCATGATCTCAATGCTGTCTCTTGGTTAATGCAGCCCAGGACTGCATTGTCTTTTTTGGTAGCTGAAGCACACTGCTGGTTCATACTTCCACTAAGACATCTAGATCTTTCTCACAGTTACTACTTTGAGCCAAGTGTACTACCAGGTGCCATCATTAAAAATCCAGTTCCTTGAAAACATTCTAACGCGATACAGAATTCACAGAAATGTACTACAATATACTATGTTCCTTGAAAAACAAAATAAACTAAAATCCACAATAAAATACTTAAAAAGGATGAAAAGGGAATTAATTCTAAATAAAAATAAATCAATAAAGAAAAAAAAGATTGATACATACGTAAAAACAACTCTGTTTTTAAACAATGAATTGTGTACCCCTAAGAACACGGATTTATACTAATGTGAAGCATGAGAAAGTATGCTTGCTGTAGGTGAAAATAAAATGCATTTAAGAGAATAATTTCTGATAAGAAAAGAAAGATATATACTTATAGAGCACAATTAAAAGAAAAAATGTACAGTGAATGTTATGGAAACAAAAAGCATTTGTAAATAAGTGAAAAGGGCTAAACTAGAAGCCTTCAACATAGTGAAATTAAAAATAAAAATGATATTATTTGGGTTGAAATTGAAATTAGGGGGATACTGAAAGGAGATCAGTGTTTATTACTTAGGGCATGAAAAACAAAAAAGATACAACAGTTTCTTTATAATTAAGAGGAATGTAGCCAGGACAGTACTCGGCTACAACGGAATCAATAATCAAATATTATTAGACTTCACATCCAACCCTTTAATATGGTAATCATTTTGCATGGTACTAATGAAAAAGAAGAGGAAGTTGATGAGTTTTAGGGTAAAGTTCAATCTGAAATTGTTAGAAAATGCAAATTATGTGTGTTGCTTGTTGGAAATAGTTAAAAGGAAAATGAAGTTTGTATGACCTGGGAAACCAAAACGAAGTAGAACAATTTATCAATTTCCACCAATCCAATGATTTCTTCACTGCTAACAGTCTTTCAATGACAGAAATAATGCCTATGTTAATGAAAATCAACAGATGGAGCACAGAAAAATCTAATTATATTATTGGTGCAAGGAGATTGTAGAGCTTTGTTACAAAGTAATGTGGCCAGGGGAGCTATGAAACACATCATGAACTGCTCACTTGCAAGTTTAAAATCAAGCTAAAGTGAAAGAAATCCATCCATTTCCATAATATAATATTAAGTACAGTTCATTTTCAAGCAAAACATTAGGAGCTTTAAGTCCTGAATGTCATTGAACCAGAGGAAATGCAATAAGCAATTAAATAAATTCTTAAGAGTAAATGTAAAAAACGACTGTTAAACATCAAGAAACAAAAGAAAACAAACTGGATGTCTAAGCAAAGGGTGAAACTGCCAGAAAGCCAAAGCCAAGAAATATAATGATCACAGGAAGAAACTTAACAAATAATTTCAAAGATGTTAGAATAGACATGATGCATTACAATGACATCTGTAAAAACACTGAAGATAGATATGGACATGGACAATGTTCCAAAAGATTTTCAACTAAGAGAGAATCAGCTTTAAAGGATGTCCACAATCAGATAGTAACTGATTCACCAAAGATCAAAAAAAGAGCTTACTGAAACTGGATAGAGTAGAGATATCAACAACCAAAGTATCTTAGAAAAGATTACCTATTTATGAAACCTTAATACTAAAAGATGAAGTCAGATCAGTACTCTGATTATTACCTTGTCAAAAAGCTATAGGAATTGAAGGAATATCTACAGAAATATGGCAAGCACCTGAAGAATATGCAAAGGTTCTAACCAAACAATGCAGAAAAGTCTGAAGAATGACACAATAAGCAACTGATTATTGGAAGAGATTATATACCAATATCAAAGAAAGAAGTTTTAACAGATTGTGTTAACTATCACACAGTATCCTAAATTTCACATGCTAGCAAAATAACACTTAGAATAATTCAACATAGATTAGAATGCTTCAGGGAAGGGGAAATCTAATATGGTTTTAGAAAAGGCTGAGGAACAAGAAACATTAAGCTAATGTATGCTGGATAATTGAAAAGCCAAACAATACCAAAGAAAATTTGTGCTTCATTGGAAATTTTTTGACTGTATTGACCATGACAGGGTGTGGAATGTTAAATGAATGAAACTACCAGAATATATCTGGTAGGAAGCTGGATTGGAAGATCATGAGTATGATATTAAACTTGGAGGAAGGAACATTAATACCCTATACGATGCTGATAACATTACTGTGATAGGTGGAAATGCAAATGAACGGCAAACTCTAATAATGAAAATCAGAATAAAAATAGGCTGTTAGAATTTTAGATAATGGTGATGGTACAGATATAAGGTGAAAATACTGATGCCATTTACTTATGGAGAAGCTGTGCAACTTGTTTAGTGTTCTTGTTTAGTTTAAGACTGCATTAATACCTGATTATTGGAAAAATGAAATGATAACAAGAATGAATGTGAAATCTAATGTAATACTTTTACGAGTGTGCCTGGGTAGGTTGTCAGAATGGTTTTGGTGACAAGTTCAGTGCAATGTCAGTAAGGAGCATATGCTTACAATTTATTTTTAAAAATGGTATATGATAAAGGAAATACATCTGAATTACGGAATAATTTTCAGTTTTCATTAATATATTTGAATATTGGTTGATGAATGTGATAGAAATGGTTCACAAATTGTTCAACACTAAACAGAGAGTAAAGAAATGATTGTATTATCTGTTTGTTTAATATATTTATAGATATAATAATGCTTATGGTATTAGAAGTGTTATTATTTATTTAATTTGGATGCTGCCCAATTCCACCAACTCTATTGGATACAAGCACAAATGTGTACATACTTTTCTACGCAGATGATGCTACATTATTTATTAAGAAACTCAATAAACTGCAGCAAAAGATCTTAAGGAACATGTGTGAAAATCTATATTCTACTAAAACTCACACTCTTATCTTTAACTTGGCAAAACAGTGCAGCATAGGGCAATAATTTTGAATAAAGATATTGCAAATAGACTAATTAACAGAAAGTGTCCAAAATGTGGGACCCGATTCCAATGGAATTGAGATTTGATAAATTTTGTGAAATCTTTTATGATATGAAAATTATCATAAAACAATGTATGACATAAAATTTCCTGTGCTATACAGTTCAACATGGGCTATTTTCATGGCAAATATATCTCTGGATGTATTCCAACCTTTCCATTGAAGGCAATGTATTAGAAGTTCTGTCATTGTCATCTGAAAGGATGATCCAATGGGTCATGGATTGTCTAGTTAATCTATCAAAGGCAAAACAATGTTGGGTTTAACGAGGAAAATGGACTGAATAACTGTAACTTATATGTAAATGGTAAAAATACTAATGCATTTGTGTACTTTGAATGTTTTCTGAAGATGGGGAAATGCAGGGAGAAATTTTAAGATGTGCAAAATATAGAAACATGGAGAGCAATATATGTTATGGTTGTGTATATGACTGTGCTTTTGTTAGACTTGGACATGTAAGTAGAAATTAAGTACAGTGAAAATGTGGGATTCTTAAGAAGTCTGTGTGCTAGAGGACATAGTATAAGGAATGCATGAATGTTGAATGATGGAGGGCTGTGAATAACATGTAGAAAGAGTAAAAGATGGTTTGGTCCTCTAGGAAAAAAACCCAACATATACAATATAAACAAAAGGAAGAGTGAATAAGTAATAAGGAAAGGAAAGACCAGGAAAGTTGTGATTGAACTTGATAAGATTTTCAAAGAGAGGGAAGTGATAAGCTTGAAAAACAAAAGGTTATGCATGAAGTTATATATACTGACATAGTAGAATAGGAGATCGTTGATGTAAACTAGTTTTAGCAATGTTTCTTTTTCAGTTTATTATGCACTTTTTCTGCTCCATGCATAATGCTGTTTAATTTGAAAGAAACAGTAGGATGTGGGTATATAGTATTTCCCTCCAATTCCATAGTCTTAAGAACAAAATGCTAATTCACTGCTTTTTTTACTTTCTTCTCTCATTTTTTTGATACTCACATGCTACTCATGGCAAGGATCTGGCCTTTTAGATTTCACAAATTATAATGAATTTGGATGACACTAAAGCTTCAATAACATGATTCGCCAAACCTATTTTTTTTTTTAAAAAAAATATGCTAGTGAATAAACCTACCTGTTTACACACTGTAATATCTAGACCTGCAGAATACATTAAATCACAACCAAGCCAATTAAAGTTTGGCTTAGGTGATGTGTGAACCCTATCTGCATCATATACTTTTATTGTTTGAAATACCATAAAAAGTAACGTAGCAGAAATGAAGATTCGATGGTCCTTCAATACTCGTTGCATTTCATCTTCATTGTTTTTATTCTTCACAGATGCTACCTGTTTGAAACCTCCATGTGTATCCCCGGTTCCTTTGGCTTGCTGGCATAGGATAAAAACAGGTAACTCTTTTAAGCTTTTCAAAACGAGTTAAAAGCGTTTTGCTCCATTTACACTAGTCACCTTTACCGAACCTATAACTAAAACGTTATAATGTCAACGAGGAACCAGAGAGATCATCGCTTGCAGTCCAACTACCCGCTTATGACCTCCTGATCTGAATCAATACCGCAAGGAGCAAAAGATAAAAGGTAAAGGCCAAGGGTATTAAGGCTTATATATCTCTGTCTCCAAAACCAAGGCCTCTGACGTAAAAACGCTCGTTTTTACAGAAAAGAAGAAGAATCCTCCCCCTTCCCCCCCCCCCGAACCGCACCCGGCCTTGCATTTGTTCTTCCTCTCGGCTGACAGAAGGAAGTAAAGAGTTAAGAAGAAACGTCTTCAAACGATCACTGCAGTGGGAAGGCCGTCGCTAAGTGGGGCGTGGGGAGGTTTCCGCCTCACGCCGTCTCTGTAAGCGAGATCGAGCCCGGCCTCTGCAGACTCACCAGCTTTCTCCTCAGACCTCACGGGCCTCTTTCTCTCCTTTCTTTCTCTCTCAGACCCCAAAAGGAACCAGGTAGATAGCGATCAGCAGCTTCCGTTTCCGCTTCGGCACATTCCACATAATTCTTCCATGTCTGCAGGTTGCCTCAAAACCTTCAAGCTGAATTTAAATATATATATATATATATATATTTCTCTCCCAGTAAAAAGAGTTGGATTTTTCGTGTAACCTCCTCACCTCTTTATTTAAAGGTCTGGGTTCGCAATTCCTGCGAAACTGCGAACTCACATGACATCTCCCTCTACAGGCAGGCACATCTTTGCAGGAAAAAGGGGAGCAGGAGAGACGCGTTTGCGCGTTAGTTCACGTGGAGGGGAGATGACGTTGGTGGGGGAAAAAAATTTAAATCACCGGAAGTTTATTCATTTGCTATACACCTATTGTTTCCCTGCAGGGGTGGGCAATTGTGGCTCTTTTACAACCTGTGGACTTCAACTCCCAGAATTACTGAGAGCCGCTTGGCTGTCTCAGGAATTCTGGGAGTTGAAGTCCACAGGTTGTAAAAGAGCCACAATTGCCCACCCCTGTTCCCCGGGGTTAACACCAGCTATAGAGCCATCCACAAAGGTAGCTCAACATTTGTAACGTGCACCTTAAAACTGGAAACTGCATAGAAGTTACAGCATGTGGAACAGGCTGTTTCACAATCTGGATGCATCCACTGAAAAGTAGCATCTGTAAAACAGGCCCGTTCATCTGTCCCTTCTGTGAAAGACAACCCCACCGAACTGCACTCATACAGTATTGCAGTATCTCTCCCCTGCTTGCATGCATTTATGCAGCATAGCAGCAACCTTTTCCCACCCACACACAGTCATATGGCACCATTGCAAGCCTCCCCAGGTCATTCATTCTTGCTGCGGCACCCCCACACCACCTCATGCCACAGTACTTACTTTGTTTTGCTTGTGAGAAGCCAGGTGGATGTCACAAATCTTGGTCACATGAAGCCCCTCCTTAACAATCTATGATCCTTGCTTAATGACAGCAAGGGACCCCTGGGATTGCTACTGCTAAATTATAGTCATGTGACATTGTATTTTACAACAATATTAGTTAATGTTGGAAATTCTGGTACCAATTACTGTTATGTGAGGACTACCTGTATCATGTCTTAGAAAAGAAGTATCAAATACTTTAAATAGGGAGTAAGTGTGTTTAAGTCTATCATGTTCATTAAAATAGTCACTCAACGAGAAGGATCGTATCAGGTAAGACCAACGTTCCTTTCCCTGATGTATATGTGTATGTATGCCTTTGAGTCAGTTCTTGATTCCTAGTGACTGTCTGGACTGGTCCTGTAGTTCTCTTGGTAAGGTGTTTTTTTTTTTTTTTTTTTTTTTTGTGAAGTGGTTTGCCATTTCCTCCTTCTTAGGGCTGAGAGAGAATCCTCTGAATAAGTAAGAGAGTACTACTCACTCTCAGTGACTCTGGGTGGCCTACAAACAATTAAAAAAAAAACAATATAACAAGAACAAAACAATAGTCCCCTGGTGACAACAAGCAATCAAATGAGCCACTTGATGGGCTCCATCCCACTCTGGAGGCTGCAGGTAGAACTAGGCAGGGGTGAAATGCTCCCAGTTCGGACCAGATCACCCTATCCAGTAGCGGTGATGGCGGGTGGTTTGGAGAACTGGTAGCAAAAATCCCTGCCCACTCCCCACGTGATTTTCGGCTGTGCCACGTGATTTTCGGCTGAAAAAAATGCTTTTAAAAGTAAAAAAAAAAGCCTCTGATGATCGTGCGGCTCAGCTGGGATCGTCAGAGCCTTTTAAAAGCTTTTTTTCTACAACCTCTTCAGCCGAAGAGGTTGTAGAAAAAACGCTTTTAAAAGGCTCTGACGATCCCAGCTGAGTTGCCTGATCGTCAGAGGCTTTTTTTTCTTTTAAAAGAAAACAAAAGCCTCTGACAATCAGGCAACTCAATTGGCATCATCAGAGCCTTTTAAAAGTGTTTTTTAAACAACCTCCTTGGCCAAAGAGGTTATAGAAAAAATGCTTTTAAAAGTTAAAAAAAAAAGTTGGCCCACCCAGTCACATTAACTCCACACACCAAGCCATGCCCACAGAACCAGTAGTAACAAATTTTACATTTCACCACTGGAACTAGGTCTTCAGGGCCTTGCAAAAGACTGTCAGAGTGGGGGCCAGTCTAATCTCTGTAGGAATGGTGTTCCAAAGGGAGGGAACTACCATGGAGAAGGCCCTACTTCTGGGTCCTGCCAGATATACCTCCTTAGGAGACGGGATCTGTAACATTCCCTGCCTTCCTGCTCTACTGGGTGGGTGATAAGGGAGGTCACAGGGGAAGGTGGGGTCTTATCTCAGTCCATTAATCACCTCCAATTTAACATCATGTTCTCATCAGGGCCCCAAGCAAATAGCAGAGGTCTTCAGGCCTTTTTGAAAGGCTAAAAGGCTGGGTGAGATCTCACTTTGGAGGTGTCACAATGTTCCAGAGTGTGGGAGTCATGAGAGAAAAGCTTTCACCCTGGACCCCACCATCTGGAATTCCTTGATCAGATCTGCAGCATCCCCTTCTGCCATCACAGGTGGGACAGGCTAATCTCATTGAAGTGAGACTGTTCCTCAGATAACCTGGATCGCTGCCATGAAGGACCTTAAAGGTAAGAACCAACACCTTGAATTGGACCTGGAAGCAAACTGGCAATGAATGCAGTTTGCATAACAATGGTATAACATGGGCATGCTCTGGCCTATTTATAACTAGTCCTACTTATTTGTTGGACTAGGTACAGTGAATAGGTTGGCCCAGGTAAATCCAAATCAAACTTTTAAAATATAAAATCAATGCTTGCTGTCTTTAATTATAAATGATTTGGAATTCACCTTTGCCTAAGGCTCTCAGAAGTGGGTTGCAAAATTCAGGGTGAGCACTATATGGCCACAAAGACCTAATGTTAAATTTTATTTACTGTATGAATTTACCTTAATCTTTTATAAATTAACTGTCTTCTGCTTTTGATTTCTACACAGTGCAACCTTTGAATCAAAAGTGTATTAAGATAAATCCCACCTCTCCTTGGTGCATCTTGCTCCCTTCCCTTCTATCTTTGTAATTCTTTGTAATTCTGTAGTTAATCTTAACTACATTTCAGTGTTAATATCCATTTTTAAAATATTTTTAATGTTTTTAATTCATTGTAAGTTGCTTAGAGTTGCCTGCAGGCAAGATGGGTGGCATAATTGAAAAATAATAAAAAAGTACTGTGTTAAAAACAAAACAAAACACTGGACAATCACAATACCTATTTATGATCTCAGTTTCAAGTTCAGAGATTAAACCATAAACAAAATTATAGTTTTGGGCAGCAGCTAATTTTTTGTAGTTTTATTGTTTCTTTGACATTTTGTATTTTGTTTGCTAGTTGACTAGATTTTAATAAAAGGAATCAGGATAGAGTCAGACTTCAGAACAAAAACAATGAATCAAGTGAATATTATTATCTGTATCATTGGTTTTTGATAGTGTGATTGGCCCTATTTTAAAAAAAAACTCCAAAGAACCATTGCTTTAAAGAATCAACTGAACACTTGAATGCACTGAAATCAATGGTTTTGCCAATCACTTAAAGGAAACTAAGGTATTAATCTACTGAAGGGGCAATAAATACATAAACATTCAGAAGCAAGAGTTACATAGATTTTTCAAATTCTATGTTCTATTTCAAAGGTGAGCAACCCAGTATTCTCAAGTTTTTCTGAATATCAGCTTCTGTCAACCTTGCCAATGATTTTAAATTGTAGGAACTGTTGTCTAGAATTTTTCTGTTTGACTACTCCTATCTGCTGTATGTCCTTTGGAAAAGGTGACAAGTACTAAATAAATGATATTTAATATCTGTTTTATGCATTAAACTTTTTTATGATTCATATTACAAATACTTGGGATACTTTTTATTTGTAAATTCACATTCCTATCATAGAACAGCTAACTACAGGAAGATAAATCAACAGCAGTTGTGAGTAAATTGAGTCTCTTTAGATCAGTTAAATAAAAGATTCTCAAACTATGTGTTGTGAGGAAATGGGAGAAGTTCGCAAATCAGGACTTTTTCTGCAGCTGCCTGAACACACCATTAACTGAATTGATTGTTCTTGAACAGGTCTGGACGGATTCCTTCAATATGTACAGAAAAGACTTCATGTTGGCAAGAGAAAATGTTGTTTATGTGGCATGATATTGGGTGAATATCATTTAGTTTTATTCCTATTTGTTTTGCATACTTTATACATGTATTATATTTCTCAGACCTATTTGATACTTTTTTACTTTTTATACTTTTATACTTCAGTGTTGTATGTTAGAATAGAATAACAGAGTTGGAAGGGACCTTGGAGGTCTTCTAGTCCAATCCACTGCTTAGGCAGGAAACCTATACCATTTCAGGTTATCTAATCTCTTCTTAAAATCTTCCAGTGTTGGAGCATTTACAACTTCTGGAGGCAAGTTGTTCCACTGATTAATTGTTCTGTCAGGAAATTTCTCCTTAGTTCTAAGTTGCTTCTCTCCTTGATTAGTTTCCACCCATTGCTTCTTGTTCTACCCTCAGGTACTTTGAAGAATAGTTTGACTCCCTCTTCTTTGTGGCAACCACTGAGATATCGGAACACTGCTATCATGTCACCCCTAGTCCTTCTTTTCAAAAGACTAGACATATCCAATTCCTGCAATCATTTTTTATATGTTTTATCCTCAAGTCCCCTAATCATCTTCGTTGCTCTTCTCTGCACTCTTTCTACAGTCTCAACATCCTTTTTACATCGTGGTGACCAAAATTGTATGCAGTATTCCAAGTGTGGCCTTACCAAGACATTATAAAGTGGTATTAACATTTCACGTGATCTTGATTCTATCCCTCTGTTTATGAAGCCTAGAACTGTGTTGGCTTTTTTGGCAGCTGCTGCACACTGCTGGCTCATATCTAAATGGTTTCCATTAGGACTCCAAGATCCCTCTCACAGTTACTACTATTGAGCAAGGTATACATATACTGTACCTGTGCATTTTGTTTTGCCTAAATGTAGAACCTTGCTTTTTTCACCATTGAATTTCATTTTGTTAGATAGCGCCCAATGTTCAAGTCCATCAAGATCCTTCTGTATCTTAAGCCTATCTTCTGGAGTTATATGCCTATAGTTTGAAGGTGCTTCTGATGCATATAAAGAAAGATTTGGAGAAGCCAACTACCCTGGAGAGTGGAAGTGTAGTCTAATATGGGTAAGTCATGTTTGAACATCCAAAATGTAATTATTAAAATTCACTGATATATTTTAGCTTGGATACCCAATTTTGTTTTTAATAATATTTAGAAAAAATGAGAAAGAAAAAAAGAAACAGGAAAAGTATATAAAATATAATTGGGTGAATAACAATTCATTATTTTAGAGGGTAAATGTTATCACAAATTTGAAAAAAAAGAATTTATTACTTTGGTTGTAGCTTCAATAGGGCCACAGCACAATTTCATAGAAATACCTATATCACCCAGTGATAAGCTTTTATGTGGTCCCTAAAAGTGATGTTCAAAATGTTTTACTTTGTTTATTAAAAGTCCAGTTATTTTGATAATTGTATTTTTGAATTAAATACCAATTATTAGCCAGTAATGGTGGCATAAAGAACAATGTTAATAAACCACCTTGGATAAAGTAGCACGCACAGATTTCACAGGATTAATTTAAGGTAGGACAAGATGAATAGTGACCTTCTTCATCATCCCTTGGTTTTGTACAGTTTTATCATTTGGGGAGAAAGAAATACAGCTATTTGATAATTTAATCATAACTATAACAATGCCAAATGGAATAAAACCTTAATCTTAACCCTTCATATGATAATCCCTTTCAAATGTAGATCTTACATGTGTTGGTTCTTAGTCCTACAAAAGCAAATATTTGAAAGCATTATTTAAATACTTGTTAAAATTCTAAATTCAAAGAAATAGTATATGGAGGAAAACAAAAACACAAAGCACTTCTTCAAATATATATCACTGACCTAATATGAGTTTGTAATGCAAGACCTTTAATCTTTTCTATCTTTAGAAGATAGTATCATAATTCACATCATCCCCTAATCATCTTTGATTCATGAAAGTTGTTCAACACCTGTAAAGAATATCAGTTAGGGAAAGCTCTATTATTTGAAACAAAGTTCTTCTAGCTAAGAAGTGATCATATGTTTCTTCTAGATTCATATCAATATTTATTTTTTAAATCCATTCCATGAATAATCTTTGAATAAATTGATGTTGATTTAAGTTTTGATTGATGGGATGCTGCAAGACCGTCTCATAACCAACCTCACTTCAATATCAGGCAGACTTTTCTGTTTCATATGTAAACAATCTTCATCTGTAGCTGCCAGGTGAAGATCAAAGCGCAAAGAAACAGACTTTTTTCTTAAGTGAGGGTTATCCTTGAAGAAAGAGCCTTCCCATTCTTTAATCACTTCATCTACTTTTTCTGTCCTGAAACAATAAATAGATTATTATGTATAGGTATTCATCCAAAACATGTCCTCAGGCTAGGATTTCAAGACATGTTTATACTCAGATATATGTTTATTTTGGTGAAACAAAGAGGGTGTATGAACATCTGTTCTGTATTTATCTATCTAATATATTTACCTGTATTTCTAATGAATAGACTTCTGCTTTTTTTCTATAGAAAGACATGTATTACCAGGCAATAGGGTTGCAACACATAATTTTTCTATTGTTTTTCTTAGTAAGATATATAATGTGGAAAGGTAGTTCTTAATTTACAGCATTCATTTAGTGCCATTATAAATTACAACAACACTGAAAAAAGTGATTTGTGACCTGTCTTCACACTACAATGATTGCAACATCCCCATGATCATCTGATCCAAATATGGGCATTTGGCAATGGGCATATATTTATAATGGCTGCAGGATTGGGGGTGTGTGTGTGTGTCATGTGATCACATTTACAACCAGCTAGCTTCTGACAAGCAATGGGGGAAGCTAGATTTGCATGGCAAAAAGGTCATAAAATGGGTGCAGTTCACTTAATGACCCCCAGTTTAGCAATGGAAATTGTGATCTTTAATTGAGGAGTCCATGTATTCCAGGCTACACCTAGTATATATTTTTATGAATTAGGTATTGTAACCACACATACATACACATACATATACATACATAGTCGCTGATGATACTCAGCTGTACATCTCCACCCCGGACCACCCCAATGATGCCCTTGATGTGATGTCCCGGTGCCTGGAGGCTGTGCGGATCTGGATGGGGAGAAACAAGCTCAGATTCAACCCCTCCAAGACCGAGTGGCTGTGGTTTCCGAGTCCCAGTATAGCCAGCTGGTTCCATTGCTGACTATTGGGAGTGAGATTTTGGCCCCCTCAGAGAGGGCTCGCAACTTAGGTGTCCTCCTAGATGTGTGGCTGTCTCTAGAAGATCATGTGACGGCTGTGGCCAGGGGGGCTTTTTATCAGGTTCGCCTGATCCACCAGTTGCGTCCCTTTCTGGACCGGGACTCCTTGCGCATGGTCACTCATGCCCTCGTCACTTCCCGTCTGGACTACTGTAATGCTCTCTACATGGGGCTCCCCTTGAAGAGCACTCGGAGGTTCCAACTGGTCCAGAATGCGGCCACGCGGGTGATTATGGGAGCGACACGGCGCACCCATGTAACACCTCTCCTGCGCGAGCTGCACTGGCTCCCAGTGGTCTTCCGGGTGCGATTCAAAGTGTTGGTTACCATCTTTAAAGCGCTCCATGGCTTAGAACCTGGGTACTTACAAGATCACCTTCTGCTACCAATAGCCTCCCACTGCCCAATTCGCTCCCACAGAGGGGGACTCCTCAGGGTGCCGTCGGTCAAACAATGTCGACTGGCGACCCCCAGGGGGAGAGCCTTCACTGTGGGGGCACCAGCTCTCTGGAATGAATTGCCCCTGGAGATACGGATGATCCCTGACCTATGCGCCTTTCGCTGTGCCCTCAAGACGTTATTGTTCCAACAAGTTGGGCTGGCCTAAACATGAATTTTAATGGTGGTTTTAGTTTTTTAATAATACCGGGGCCAAATTATTTAATATATTTTTAAATTGCTTTTAAATTTTTTGTATATGTGTGTTTTAGTGTTGGCTGTGCACCGCCCTGAGTCCTTCGGGAGAAGGGCAGTATAAAAATTTAAATAATAAATAAATAAATAAATAAATAAATAAATAAATAAATAAATACATACATACATACATACATACATACATACATACATACATACATACACACACACACATATTTAACTTACTGTATTGTATTATGAGTCTCTGTGCTATCCTTTGCAACACCTCCATTTAAGACTGCTTGCTTTGTCAATATTTCAACTTTTTCAATTTCATGTTTTTTTAGCTTGCTTGCTATATAGATAAAAAAGAAAATCAAAATATATTAGAATATACAATTTTAGGAGATGCAGAAGAAATATTCTGTATTTCAGAATGTGTACCAGGTTTATTTTCAGTGCCTTTTAAATCATTTATACCAGGAAACCTCACTTTTGAACATAAAACTGTGTATGTCCCACAAGCTCTGTGTATGCAATTTAGTTACTAAATCAATATGTTAATATGACAGGCCTGATCTGACTGCAATTGTGCAATTGTAGTGTTTTATAAGAGGTCGTGATGGCTCAGAGGTTAAAGATGCTGAGCTTGTCAGATGGAAAGCCCGGGTTCAAGACCTGAACGTCATACAACTGGGTGAGCTCCCATTGCTGCCCCAACTCCTGCCCACCTGGAAGTTTGAAAGCGTGCAAATTTGCAAGTAGATAAATAGGTACCACTTTGGTGGGAAGGTACCAGGGTTTTGAGCACCTTTGGCATATAGCCATGCTGGCCATATGACCACGGAAAAGGTCTTCAGACAACACTGGTTCCTCAGCCAAGAAATGTTGATGAGCATGTCCATGACTGGATAAGGAAGCCTTTAGCTTTTCCTACTGTTTTATAAGCATTGTTAATGTTGGGTTATCCTCTACTTCACTCTTTCTCTTCCCACCACTATTTCTAGTGGTACATTCTTTTTCTCCAATATGATAATCTCATTTATGGCAGTATACATACATATTTATAAAACACAAAAGGTTTTTCATTTTTTCTTCACTAAAAAGTAATTATTACCTGCTTGAAGAAATTTAACATTGAAGAGGGATCTATTATAGCTCTTTTTTTAGTTTCATTTATCTACTGTTAAGAAGATTTTTTTCCTAACATTAAAAAATCAAAATCTCTTACATCTTGAAGTGACTCAGCCCACTCTGACATTACAGAATATCTTTTGTATGTAGAAATCCTATTGGAAATAATATTTCCAATTGCATTTAAATTAATAGAGCCCCATTTTAAGTCAAGTTTGTTTAAAATTAGTGGATGATTTAATTTTCTAGTGTTAAGTAAACTCACATGAAGGTAAAATAAATGCTATTCGGCTGGTGGTAGGTTTTCTGATATCTTTTGTTTCTTCGTGTTTTAAATAATGAAACCTGGAGAGAAAGAAAAAAGATACAGGGTAAAATAGGAGCGTTATATCTTCTGAGTAAAATCTTGATGAATTCTGTAGGTTGTGCTAGAGTGCCTATTAATGCTCTGTTTTTATTGAACATGTTCTCTGCACAATATAATTTGCCCTTTATTCAGGCATTATCAATGCCCTGTTTTTTTTTTAGTTTCTTTTCTAGGTATGCTGTAGGTTTTGGGATGCTGCTGAGATACTCTCAACAGTCTACAGGTTGTTAGGGTTAGGATTATACACATGTATTACACTGAGCATAGATATCAGAGGGAAAGAAATTGGGCAGAGAAAGAGAGTGGCAGAAAGGTAGAGAAGGAAAAGGATGATATATATCTCTGATTTCAGATCTGTCCATCATTGAATATATTCTCCAGTTGACTTCCTTTGGGGCTATTGGGCTATATAGAAAATCAGTTCCTCATCCCTGTAAAGGCCTAGTTCAGACATAATCTTTCTTATTGAACTATTATGTTGAAGTTTATGGCTAGTTTAATTAGCCATAGTTTCCTGATCTTTGAATTGAGACTCTAGTATCAGCACCTGATAACAGCTTTCCGATTCTTCTGTTACAATATGCCAAGGAAAAAACTAATTCTGTAGACACAAAACTCAGCAAAATTGTATAATATGCTATAATAAGTTACATCTGAACTTGCTCAATTGATGGTTTCATAGTTTCAGTAAACTATGTTTGTTATGACAATGTACTTCCATGTATTTATTTCCTGCATCTACTTTTGTCCATGAATAAGAGATGATCCTAAATTTCCATTTTGATTGAATTGTATTATAGATTTTAAAAGAGATGTTCTTGGCTTTTGTTTTATGAACAATTTTTTAAGTTCCAAAGCAAAGAGCAATCATTATGATTAGTACAAAGATGAAAGTGATGACTTTTTAAACTCTTCCTTTTGCATTCAGTGAAAAAAGGAGGAAATGCATGAGCTTGGAACATTGAACACCCTCCCCCCTCCTAACCTTCTATTAGGGTCTTAAGACCTGCCAGTTAGCATGGGCTCCCAGAGGAGTGCACCACTTTGGAGGTGGCTATCAGATTAAGAGAAGACCCCCACCTCTATATTTTGTGTTCCTTCTCCCCCATCTTTCAATTGTAAATTATCATTATGTTACTTATTGTTTACCAGTTTTTAATGTTTGTAAATTGCCCAAGGTCTCCTCTAGACAAGAAAGGCAACCCAGAAATCAAATCAAATAAATAAAAATAAATGAGCTTGTTCTTGCAGATGATTTCTTTTAATTAATTGTGTTTTATGGTATGTTGTTTCAGTCTTTAGTGTGGTTCTACTTTATTACCTCATAAAGTAACAGAATACAAAAATAAGAGGAAAAACAACCATTTGGGTTTATTCTTAACCTCAAAAACATGTTTGTGTACTGATTATAGCAAATAATATAAATCTAAATGCAAGCCTCTCTAGAAATCAACTGCTTTCTAATTGTCTAATTATCTGTTCTCTTTCTCCCCAACATGGGTATTGTTTGGGGGCAACTGATAGCATGTCATGATAGTATAATGAAAATTAAGTACATTAATAATTTATATAGTATGCATGATGCTGTGACACATGTGACATCATTACATGTTGATGCTGATCTCCAACGTTTAATTATTTATTTATTTAATAATCAAATATATATACAGGTAACCCTCAACTTTCAACAATTTGTTTAGTGACCATTCGAAGTTACAACAGCACTGAAAAATGACTTATGGCCGTTTTTCACACTTATAACAGTTGTAGCATCTCCATAGTCATGTGATCAAAATTCAAATTCAAATTCATTGGCAACTGATTCATATTTATGAGGTGTCCCAAGGTTGAAAAATGGGGCAAAACTCAACAACTGTCTTGATTAGCAATGGAAATTGTGGTTTTAAGGCAAGGACTACCTGTAGCTGCCCATATCAATACCTGACTCTAGGTGGCTATATAAATTTGATTAATAAATAAATATTTCAAATAATCTCTTCCATCTCAGTGTTTAGTTCTCCCAGAAATTCTATTCCAATCAAGAATTTCCTCAATTTATTATTAGACAATGAGACATTTTTGTTCGTTTCACTGATCTGATTCCTATGCAACAGAAAGGCATAATGGGGTTGGCTTGGTAGACCTGAACTTCCTCATTCTGACTTAGTTTTGTGTATGAATTCAAGCCACTGCAGTTTGTTCTACAAAGCACCAATCAAAAGAATCCTGGTGTTGTACACATCCCTGAGTCATATTGCAACTAATGGAATGTACTTAACAATCTCTTGTCACTTTGATTTTGGCAAAGGTACCTTTTCTCTTCCTTCTCCAGCAAACTACGATAGGTAGCTATTTCCTGCTCAAGTCTCATCTTGGAATTTAATAATATTTCATGTTGCTGGAGTTGTTTTTCGATGTCCTGCCGCACTTCTTGGAGCTCCTTTTCCAGACCTTCAATCTCTGTTTCCAAGTGCTTGAGCTGTGTTTGGTATCGTAGTTCTGTGGCCTGTAGCGAATTCTCCAACCCCCTTTCCTATTATATGAAGTTTCTGATTAAAATGCCAAGGTGTACTTCCAAATAAAACAAAACCATTTAAAAACAATTAACAACACCTTCCTTTCAGAAAAATCCAAATCTAACATTTCTATTAAACATAATGAAATCTGTATTTAAACAGTGCCTTACCTTATAAACCATAAAAAAACAATTGACTTGTACAATTGACTAGATGAATATGCTTATATCATATATGCTTAATATATATATATATTTAGTATTTTATTTCCTGGATGTGATCCCCATGAAATCAGATAGGGAAGAAGAAGCCAGGAGACTTATACAAGTGACCTGAGGCGAGTTTCTTGAAATTTCTTTTCTCTAACTTCCTGACTACATTTTTGAACCAATGTACTTCTAGTAAAATTTCTCCAAATGACATTGGTTATTGTTGGGTTTTTTAAATTGTGATAGTCCTGGTTAAAAATGCTGGTTAACAAAGGATATAAATACATGTATTATACTTATTGGAATTATTTTTATCATACATATTTGATCTTAAGTGTTCCCAGAGTGGTTTTCATTTGTATAAAATGCCTAAAAAAGATTAAAAACAGGAGCAAATTTAGTAAAAATGCCTTTAGAAAAAAAAACCCTACTAACAAATCAACTTGTGCAGTGAAGAGAGAGTACAGTATCCCACAACTATGAAAGTTCATAAACAAACATGAGAGACAGGAAACAACAAAACAATAGTATCCCTATTAACAATTTTTGGAGTTTAATATAGTTGTGCATTACATAAAATGAGGGGGAACCATATAGAAATATATAATTATGGGTAGCAAATAATAAGCTTATGAAAGATGACCTGGTTGGAAAATATGGGCTAGATGGATCCCTTTTCTCTATCTTTAGAGAGTGAAATCTTCGGGACAATTCGGAAAGGGTCAATAAAGGATTCAGTTGTCTCAGGCTTAGGGTGCAGTAGAAGACTCCCAATAGAAATTTGTTTTATTTGGTGTTAGGCCATATTGGTGTGCTGGTCTGAAGAATCTTTGGCTTTAGTTTTAATGTTAGTAGAAGGTGTGGGAATTGAAAGCATACGTTCATGGTAAAAAAAGAGTTTTTCAGATATACCATTAATTAATTCCTTAACTTCATTTTTTTAAAAATAGCCTAGTTCCCTCAATGGATTACTCCTGTTATAAGTATTAGAACAAAACATAATCAACTTTTCAGATAAATTTTCTACATTATAAAACATCATAAAAGGACACTTTATTATTCTTTTTTGTCATATTATTTTTTTACTCGTAAGGTTTTTCTTGAATGAAGAAAGTATTTTATGAATATTTTATGAAGAAATATACTTTGCTCTCATCTGCAATATAAAGTAACAGTCTAAGCGTAGATTTACTTCTCAATCAGTTAGACTACCATGTTTTCTCAAGAAGAAAGTACCTAGGAACTCTTAAACTAAAATGTCTACATTTCTAATAATTCCTTCCCCCATGAGGCCTATTCATGAATTAATTTAAATTCCCCCAGAAAACTTTAATATGGAAGGGCATTTTTGTCTCCCTATTTTAAAACCCCAAAGAACAGTTCATTGTTCTTCTTATTAGAAGGGATAATAAAGATGTTTAAACTTGTAAGTTAACAGAAGAAGAAATGTTTTCTTTCTGAAAACAGTTTTAGAATAGTTGTTTGCTCACACTTACCATGGCATGAAGAGAGTCTATTTCGGTCTGCATATGATGCCACTGGCGTCTAGCTTCGTTTAGTTCTGCCCTGGCTGCCTTTAAGATTTCTTCATCTTTGTTCATTCTTGCAGTTGTGACTTTTTCCAGCTGCAGGGAATATTTACAATGCCAGGTCAACATTATCAGGAACAATGAAAATTTAAACTTGTGTGAGTGAAGCCCCAACTTTCTGAAACAAATCATCATTCATTTGTTTCATTTGTAATGTTGCTTGGCTTTGCAACTGAAGAAAAGCAAATCTTCAATTTCAATCAAAATATTGTGATTGTCAAAACAGTAATGTAAACATATTTTTGAATGCTAAAAATGATTTTAGTATAATAACTTCTAAAAAATGGTTAAATATTGTAAAATTTGCCATCAGGTTGGGGAAGATTTCTGCAGGATATGGTATAGTACTGTGCATGGTGTCTAGTGACATATAGATAGTCCTTAAGTTATAACTGCAATGGAGCCTGCCCATCATGATCATAAGTCGTGACAGTTGTAAATCAAATCACTCATGTGACCAACCCAATTTTATGATCTTTTTGGCAGTGGTCACTAAATAAATCCTGTTTAGCAAATAAATGCTTTGCTATGGGCCAGTCTTGCCAAAAGCCAGAAGTAAATTCCAATTTTTGTCAAAGCTGTCATAAAATAAGGTCATGTGACCATGAGATGCTGCAAAGAGTTGCCAAATACAGTCACCTGACCACTCAGGGAAATCTGTGAATAACTTTGAATGGTTGCTAACCATCAGTCATAAATTGAGGACTAGTTGGTTTATTTGTGATTCCATTGTGCTTGCCTTAAAATTTATCATAAAACTTTAGTTCATTCTGATACTAGCAGCCTGACTGCTAACTGGAGTGGTAAAATCTAGTGTCACAGATACTAAAATATTATTCTCTTTCCAAATGACACTCACAAATCCTCAAATGTTACAAGCATTTTTCAAAAAATACAAAATGGCAGAAGTATTGCCAGCTTGCTAAGAGTGAAATTTCAGTAATCTCACACAGTGCCTCCCCTAATTTGGACAGGATGTGTGGACTATTAATTTATAATAGCCTAAGAAGCTTGGAAGCCCTTTTTCAGGGATATTATAAAACCACAGTGGAGATCATTGGAATCTTGAGAGATTTGTTTTAATGTGATTTTTAAAAGTGTTGTGGTAGATTGACTGCATCCATGAGATTGTGAAAGCCCAAGTTCAGGGACAGATCTGGAGATTTCTGGAAATTAAGTTGTGGGAGAGATAAAAATCCATATGAAATTTGAATCCATATGAAACATGAACTTTTTTGAATCATATTGCTTAACACATTGTAAGCCGCCCTGAATCTCCGGAGAAGGGCGGCATATAAATCAATTTTTAAAAAAAAAAACAATTCTTGTCCCAAGGATTAGAATAGAGAGGAATCTTTTGTGTTCAACATGGACAAGGCTGTGCTAGCCTTGGGCAGTATGATTTAAAATTTTGAAAGATTCTTACGTTTGAGTAAGTAAGTCTGTATCTATATCCATATGCTAGAAGCCTACTTGACTTATATAAAGTCAAGTAAGCTTCTAGCATATGGAAGTGTGTAGGACCTTGATCTATGCCAATGCCCTTTTCTCACTATTTTCATGTTAGAGAATGAGGATGGGGAGACTGATTATGAGGGTTTTTAAAATGTTGAATGAAGGCATATAGTTTTTGAAATTCAAGATTCTGAATTAAGCTTGGGGAGCAAAGCAGGATGGCTGATCAAAGTAATTTAATTCCAAGATTCAACCAGATTGGGTGATGAAACAGTACTCTTGTCAAAGAGTAGATTATTGATGACTTGAAAATGAAACAAAGCAGAAAATTAAATGCTTAGCTGTTTGGAAGAATTTCTCTATGGCATTTAGAAAATACTAGTGGATGCCAAAAAGTTAATGTATTGGCTAGGAAGAACCTAGCATATGCAGCATTTCAGTCTAAAGCTCCCATCATATACAAGAACTTTTACACCAAAACATCCGGAGGGTACCACATTGGAGAACATTACTGCAGAGCATGTTATGATATATAAAAATACTTTTCAGAACCAGCGTGGTGCTGTGGTATGGCAGGGATCTCCAAATATTTAGGGGCATTTGGATACATTTGGAATTTCAAAAACATTATGGATATTCTCAAAATGGTTGCCATGGTGGGCATGGCCAGGTATAAAACATCTATTTACTAGAAAGTAAATGGATAAGATAGCTCCCCATAATCTCATCTAATCTTTTGGATGCTCTCTATCATGCCAAACCATCTTTGTCTTTTCTTCTGGGCAGATGTATATGAGTTTTCATAGAATGCTGGGCTACAGCTTCTTATCATTTTTATCTTCAAAGACACCCTGGAATTATATGTAGGGCCCAGAAGTATTTTTTGACAAGATTATTCTTGAGGCTGATGGTTTTTTAAAAAAAATCTCATAATGCTACTATGTTCTTTCTCTTTTTAAATAAAATTTAAAAAGTGTTTAAAAATAATGTGGATAATACAGCCTGAAAAATAAGTAATATGGTCTAGTTTCAGCCTTTTTGGTAGTTCTCTGACTGGAAAGTGATTCTTTCCCAAGCACAATGTTTACAGAGTTTTCTTTAGCAAAATTGATTAGGATGAAGTGAGCAATGCTGTAAGTATAAACAGCAAATGAACTGTTTTCAGTTTAAAACCAATGTACTGTATCTTTTCTTGCATTATAATAAAAACTGTTGGATTCTGTTTCTCCTAAATTTCCTGTAAGCTGGTTATCAGATGGGTCTCTTAACTTAAAATGGGAAAATGAGAAATTTTAATCCTATTAGCCTAGGAACCAATTTCTAACTTCTGATGGATGTTGATGGAATTATCTGTAAGTACAATTTTCCTAGTACACACCAAATTAGATCTAAAGTATGAAACTAAGATTTGAGCAAGCCAGATTCATATCAATGTAAACTGAGGAATTTGGATAGAGAAAGTGAATCTACTATAATAGCAGAGCAAGATAGCTTTAAAGGCTATCAGGTTCAGTTTTCAAGTATTTAAAAGTTTAAACTTTAAACGGACAGAGAAATATTTTAGATATTTGAAAGGGAAGATATATGTCATGTTCGTAGACTTAAATCTGATTTCAGTTCCATTCTAAAACAAGCCTCCCACCGACCAGTCCGTTCCCACAGAGAGGGTCTCCTCAGGGTGCCATCAGCCAAGTTATGTCGGCTGGCGACACCCAGGGGGAGGGCCTTCTCTGTGGGAGCCCCAACCCTGTGGAATGAACTGCCCCCGGAAATACGTAAGATCTCCGACCTCCGGGTGTTCCGCTGCGCACTGAAGACCCTGTTGTTCCGCCAGGCAGGGCTGTCAATATAATAATTTTAAATTGGGGTATTTTAATTTTTGGAGTTTTAAATCGGCCAAATCTATTTAATTAGTTTAATTTTTAATTATTGTTGTGTCTTGTGTTTTTAAATAGGCTGTACACCGCCCTGAGTCCTTCGGGAGAAGGGCGGTATAGAAATAAAATAAAATAATAATAATAATAATAATAATAATAATAATAATAATAATAATAAATTATTCTGGAGAAAACATTACAACAGTCATGAATAAAAGATTGCTTTTCTTGATAAAGCACCTCTATAAAAATAGTTTCTTCAAAGTGCATAGTAGCCCAATAGGTGATTTATGTAAATCAGTCCCAGTGATCAGAGGTAAACAGTATGTCATCAAAGCATGCTGGCACCCAGCTCAACCTACATGTAAATGACATAACCTCTAATTTATTCTCTCTGGAACGTCACCTTTGAAACTGATAGGGAAGGAAATTACTATATTATATATACCGATTATACCATACTGCTTTCACAAACTAAAGATGTTTTGCCCAGAATGATGTAGCAGTCTTCCATCTATTATATTCAAGAGATTTTACAGCAGTGATAAATTGTAATAAAACAAAGGTTCTTGTATGTTCTAAAGGACATAGGAAATAAAGTTGATTGATGGATGGATACCTCATTTAGCAAATGAGTAAACTTAATTACATCAGTATTCTTTTTCCAAACATTTCTTTGTTAGATTGAACTTGTGTTATTCAAGATGTGGATTTTATATCTTCTGCTATCAGTTGATTCCTTTTATAACAATTAGTCAAGTTATGTGGTTTTCTAGATATGGTTTATAAAGTCAAACTATTACAGGATTATTATATGGCATTCAATTTTATTTTATGGGAAAGAAACATACATTTTAAGGGATGTACTAAGGCTACTTTGCATTGTTAAGAATGTTGAAATAAGATTGGAAATTGGTAGTCCCTCTATAGCTTCTTTATCATAGACCTATGTATTAACATTTGCACCCATTATCTGTAAGTTATTTGATGTTTTCTTTAGCTTGGTTTAAAAAGTTAAATCATAAAATTAGGATTGTTTTAACACAATTTAAGAGGTATGTTTACATAGAGGAAAAATGGCAAGTTATTAACATATGGAAAGAATTATCTGAAGCAAATACAACTTATTTACTGTTGAAAAGAGTTAAGAAATGATTTTAGAGCAATTCAATATTTAGTTTCTCATAAGGGGTAGATAAAGAATATCTTTAACTGCATTCTTTCAATGATCTTTGAAAGCTGATACAGAAAAAACACCACTGGAGTTGAGATTACTACATACCTTTGTGAAATAGGATAGATTTGAAGAGTGGAGCCAGGGGTGAAATCCAGCAGGTTCTGATAGGTTCTGGAGAACCGGTAGCGGAAATTTTGAGCAGTTTGGAGAACTGGCAAATACCACATTTGGCTGGGGTGGGAATGGAGATTTTGCAATATCCTTCCCCCCGGAGTAGGGAGGGAATGGGGATTTTGCAGTATCCTTTCCCTGGAATAGGGTGGGAATGGAGATTTTGCAGTATCCTTCTCCTGCCACGCCCACCAAGCCACGTCCACAGAACCAGTAGTAAAAAAAAATTGGATTTCACCATTGAGTGGAGCACATAATGTTTGAATGTGTTTATTATAAAGATTTTTTTTCTGACATCCTTCCTTACCAAATTTCTCTCTCCCTTGCAATCAAAATAAGAACTTTCCCCCCATGCCTTCCAGACAGTCTTGATTCCTGGTGACTGCCTGGACAAGTCCTTCTATTTTCTTGGTAACATTTTTGGAAGTGGCTTGCTACTATTTTCTTCCTAGGGTTGAGAAAGAGGGACTGGTACAAAGTCACCCACCTGATTTTGTGCCTAAGACAGGAAAGCACATAATTATTAGCAGCTGAATTTTGAATATTTTGATGTTTGGAAAATAGTTTTTATTTACTGTATTAGATTCTAAAACTCCACTGTGCACATTAAACCAACCTTAATAACTAATAAACTAAGGTGGATTTGAGACTCCTGGCAGAAATGCTAGTAATGGAATAGTTAATAATATGTCTTTGTAATAATGCCATATTTTTCCCGAGACTATAATAAATAGATTAAATTCATGAAATTCAGTGGGTAGATTGGATCAGTCACAATATCCTAGCTTGATATATGGCATAGGATTATTATGAGGAAAATTTGTAAAGGGTGTGGTAGTAGGAAAGGTGAGTTATAAATGCAACAAATAAAATAATTGGTTTTGGAAAGAAACTCATACCAAATAATCCACAAAAGCTATAGGAGTTATGGTGATTGACAGATTCCCTTCTGGGGATGGGCGATCCTTCTGTTTTCTTAAAGAAGTGAATCAGTTGTTAAGGAGGAGGCCCAGGCACACCGCAAGATGCTGTTCTATTTCTAAAAGTGGCAAATAGAAGAAACTAGATAACTTTCTGTAGGATGAAGACAAAAAAAAAAGACATTATAACAATGCCATAATATAACCCCAGCATGATTTGGAAGATGGCAGAAACTGCAGATCAGGAAGCCAAGCAGAATCAAACCTGTGTATTGGTCAGCTTGGGAGGACTTTCAGTGAACTTTGGGCTAGATTGATTAGTAAAAAAAATCCCAGAAGAAAAAAGTAGTTCATTTCTTGACTATCCTCAAGAAAATTGCATGAATGTGTTCATAGATCACCAGCAACTGAGCTCAGTTAGAAATATGCCTGGTTAGTGGAGGCTGGACTCCAGATGTTACTTCAAGGTGGAGCAGACAGAGTAACTGACAGCTGCAGATCAGACTCCTAGATTTCAAAGCATTATATTTAAGATTGAACTTCTCCATATGTTTATATAGAAGCTAACAAAATTGGTTATTAAATTGTAGTTTAAGCACTAGTAACAGAACAATGCCCCATGGTTCATCTGAGGGTAGAAGGGTACCTTGGGAAGTATGCCAGTTTTGTCTACTTATCTCTTCTGAATAGTTGCTAATCAAGATAGCTACCAGTTCCAGATTGCCATATGTGTGGAAGGAATTCTGTCTCTTGATAGAGCTAGACCTAAATAAAACACTAGCTAGACCTAAATACAACATTCTGAGAATCCAGTGAATAAGAAAATCCACAAAACCATAAATAGATTAGAGAGAGAGAGAGAGAGAGAGAGAGAGAGAGAGAGAGAGAGAGAGAATTTCAAGTATTGAATTAACACAAGCTGAAATGTATATATTTCCAGAAGTTGCAGATATTTATCAGATCTTCTGAAACAAAGTTTTCAAGAAAAAATATTTTACTGAGTGAATTATTGCTAAAAATGTGCTCTCTGAATTAAGGACCATTTCACTAACCATAATGAAAATATTTCACTAACAATAACATTTCAAAACATTAATGGCATACATATGGAATTAGCATCCACACAGTCATACTTAAGTTAGGCACCATTAAATTGAATATCTCTATAAAACAAAACAAAACAAAATGTCAAGAGCAATCTATTAATCACTGTAATGCAAGTAAAATAAAAATTTGACATTTCTGTTTGTAAAAACTTTGAGAGATATATACAGGGAAATGTCTATAGGATAGTTTCATGACTTTAGGAATAAGTTTTGTCATCTACATTATAGTATGTGAGCATTTAATATGGCCCTAATGGAGAAAAATTCTCTTTAAGGAATGTTAGTTGGAAGCTGCTAAAGACTTTAGAGGTTAAACCTACTATCTTAATTTGAAAATGAACCTGTGCTGAGTTATATTGCATCATAATTGCTTATCTCTTGACAAATAATGGTGGAAGTCTGAAAATACTGGTTGAAAAACCTGACCAAACAACACAGGTAACTTGAATTTTTCCTATCCCCAGGATCTTTATTGAACAAGAGGCCACTGACTCTTCTGTGCCTTTGTATTTCTTTGCTCACAAGAATACTGTATGTAAAACCAGTTTTAAAACATTAAATTATATTTTTAGTGATTGCATAAAGCTGTCGGAAGAAACCAGTGGACATTATGGGTTTGATCTCTAAAAGTTGATATGGACTGTGCAAATATCTCTTGTCTGCATCAGCATAAAGCAACTGTATTACCCTGGGATATCATGGCAGCTGTGCCACAGAGATGCAGGTTTTCTGGATACAAAGATGACATAAATGTAATTCTAGTTAGCACCTTCATTTCAAAAGCCATATAGTCTATACAAGTATTGGGGCTATGTTAATGAATACAAAGGAGGGAGACTCGTGGAACTCTGCTTTCAACTGTTTAGAGCAATCTAAACATAATAGAACTTTAAAACTGCTGGAGTTGCCTTGATGGGGAGACATTCCAGGTCACATTTCCAAGGAATGCGATTGCCTTGAGATATTTCAGACACGTATTATGTTTGTGCTGCCTTGTCCTTCAAAGATTTTTTTAAAAATTGAATCCAAAGTTCAAGAACAGTCCTATTACAAGCCTAATATAAGTAGTCCTTGACTTAACAAACAACTGGGACCAAAATTTCTGTTGCTAAGCAAGGCTTTGGTTAAGGGAGTATGCTCAATTTTATGACCTTTTGTTTTTTTGCCATGATTGTTAAGTGAATCATGCAGTCGTTAAGCGAATCTGGCTTCCCCATTGACTTCGCTTGTCATAAACTGGCTGAGAAAGTTCCAAATGGTGATCACATGATTTTGGGATGCTGCAACTGTGGTAAATAAATGTTGGTTGTCTAGTGCCTGAATTCTGGTCACGTAACTGCGAGGATGCTGCAATTGTCATAAGTGCAAGGATCAATCAAAAGTCACTTTTTTTTAGTGCTATTACAACTTCAAAATGATCTCTAAATGGTTGCAAATCAAGGACTACCTATAAATACTGGCTTGAAGCAAAGAATGAAACTACATGGATACAAATAATGGAATTTCCTTGCCATAGTTTGCAAAGAGTTTGCCATTCCCTGGAGACGTTCCATCCAAATAAACTAGTCCTGATACTAATCTGCTGAGAATCTTACTAAGCGGCAAATTACTCTAGACCAAGTTATCTGGAGCATAAGATAAAGATGAGCTGTATCTTTTCTGCAGGTTTTGGGACTGGATTACCTAAAGCAAGCCAGCCGTTAAAAGATACAAAAAAACAAAACTATTACTCATTCAGAAATGGCAAACTCAAAAGCACAATAGGATGCTCAGCCTGCATCCTGTTTAATGTTATTCCTGACAGTTAGATCAGCAGTCTGGTGCATGTTATGACTGTGATTCAGAGGCATTTCTTTTTCCTGGGTGAATTTTTAATGCTGTCCTTGTGATTGGATAACCTTTAGCAAACATGAGACTTAAGCCAGACAAGCAAAGCATTGCAGAACAGTGTGATCTTGACTTTTCTCTTTTAGAGATGCTATAAAACACAGGGTCCCTTTTGACCTATCTTTAAAATCCATTCTTTACCAAATTAAATGCTTTTCTCCCTAGAGAAAATTATATCTAAATGATGAATGGAGCAGAGGAGCTGCACAAGGTTTGTTATTCTGTTTTGAGAAATATCTCCATGCAAGGTGACCCAGCTTTACTTTGTCATTCTTTTTAAAAACCTCAACGTATTTCCCCCTAGTCTCAGAGTCTAGACGTGCTGTGGAAGAGAGAGAGAGAGGGAGCGGGAGAGGGAGAGAGAGATGGTTGCTTCCCCCCCCAAAAAAAACACTGCATTGAAAATGTAAATACTGTACCTCACAGAGGCTGAGAGAGGAACTGAGTGCACACTGGATTGTCTCCTTATTCAAGTAGGTGCCTGTCTGTATATGGACATTACCTGGGTCCCTGCCGAGAGGATGGTCTCTATCTGACTTCGGCTGAGGAGCGTTTCATAGTTTGCCCTGATCTCATTGAGGAGCTGGGACAGTTCCATGCTGCTCCCATCCTCCACCTTGGCTAACTGAACCTTATTGATAGGGTGAGAAGACTGCTGCAGAACATTCCCAGCCTGCAATTGGAATAAGAAGGAGAGAGAGAGAGGAGGGAGAGCAGAAGGGGAAACTCAGATTTTTTTAAAGCAGCAGCGTCCCATTCCTTGATTAGCATTAGTTATCATGGTTCTTTTCAAACATGCCCCTAAAACTGGCTAAAGCTGCCCATTTGTATACAAGGACTGGAAAAATGCATACTATTTATTTTTAAGAGCATAAAGCGAGAGACATTTCACCATGATTTTTTAAAATGTAGGATTTAATTGTTGCATGGAAATCTTGCACCATGTCATGCTCATATACTTCTTTTGGCAAAGAGTAGTTATTTACTATTATTATCTTGTTGTATATATCAGAGATGGATGTCATAGGTTTCAGGCCCAAGTACCATTTGCAAAGATTGTGGGAATATCAATGAAACGTGAGTTGCTTATTCCTGACATACATATATGTCCCCAAGTTTTTTCTAACATGAAAATAAATATCCTATGACATACTTGTTAATTTTTTCACCAGTTATTCAGTCAGTCTGTATTGCAAATGATTTAATTCACTCACCAGATAAAATAATTCAAATGGAATATAAACCCAGCTGTTGACCTTTGGTATAGTAGTGAGAAATTGGTTCATAGTATTGGATCCTCACTCAAGAAAAATTAAAAAAAAAGGTGAAAGTTTTGTTCAGCAACTAGGTTTTTTAAGCACATAAAAAACAACAGGAGGAGCCTAGAAAGATTTTTTTTTTTTTAATTCAAAGGATTGATTAAAAAGCAAACTACTGTCACGGTTCCAAGTAACACCCCCAACGAAATCAAACTCTGAGGCTTGAATTTCCTCAAAGCTAAATTTTATTAGAGATGTCATATTGCATATCTGTGAAAACCCGAATCTAAGAGCTTCCGGGTTTTCCACACCCAAAAAGTTAAAGACCTTGCCCCTCTCTCACATGTCCGTCACACATCCAGTCAATTACTGTCCAGAATAGATGATACCTCCTCATTCTTCTCCACACAGCTGCAGGGCCCCATGGCCTTGACCTTCTATAAAGCATTTTATTGTGACTATGTATCTTCTTCTCTCTATGCAGTCCCCCCTCCCAATTTCCCACAGTAGGATTTGTGGCAGGCCTGAAGCCTGAAGGCACAAAGGTAGAAATATGGCTTCCAGGTCTGACAACTACATTACATGAATCCAGCAACATTCTGGTCATTCAAAAGAATGGCTGTTCATGCAAGGGGCAAGCCATTATTGAAAACTTGATAAAAGAAAGGTGGAGAAATATGAACATTTATAGTTCATATTTAAACATTAAGATCAAAAGGAAGTTTTCTTTTGTTTAAATACTTTAAAACATGGTTTCAAAGGGGAAGGAAGAAAAATAAGAACCTTTATTAGCTGTTGTATTATTTTCTACACTAGAACTGAAGAGAACTGAATAACATTAAATATGGTGCCTCTATATTTATTTTGTGCCATTATTTTAGAACATAGGCCTGAGGGCAGGGACTGCCTTTCATTTTACTTTTGGAAAAGTAATCTATAAACTACGTTTTGGCTTAAGTGCCAGGTAAAAAGGAATAATAAGTAAATCATATGAATCATATAAATTATAATATTTGTTTATACAGGATTATAACTTTGTGAATCATTGTGTAATCATCTGAGCTTTCCTACAGCTAAATGACATGGTTAACGTTTCTTTGGTTCAAAGAGTGCTAAAGAATAATGTATACAAGCTTAGGCATTCTACAAACTTGCAACATTGAAATGTAATATTATAGCTCTCCAGTTTCCATAAGATTTGTTACTATAACAGCTAACGAAATTATTCTAATAGTCTCCCCTACTTGACTTCCATAACCTTCTGGGTCCTTCTAGAAAAAAAAACTTAATTATTTTAAGCCTAAAATATAAAATAATTTGCTAATAAGGAGATTTTAAATAAATTGTGAAATGGTATTTGTGGGTTCGTAGTTTGGTACTTTGTTTTTTAATCTATTTAATTTTTTTAATACAGTTGAAATAGCAAAATAATAATTAGCCAAATTTAATTTACACATACATACACAGACAAAATAAAAGAAGGCAAAGGGAGAAATTACATTCATATTAATTCTATTAGTCTTATATCTGTACCTATTTTATACTATGCATTTAGTTTTGCTTACATTTAAGTCTGTTAAAGTTTAAAAGAAAAAAGGAGGAAAAATAGTATACCGAAGATTAAAAATGAAATAATATACATACATAAATTTGATTATATCTCCAAATAATGGAATAATTACTCAAATATGGAAAGGGAACTTGGTTCCTCAAACAGTTATATAACCAGAGGAGAATGAATGTCCTTTGTCCTACTAATATAAATTTTTCACACTTAACAAAGACATGCACTACCAATTTCTTAGCCCTTTTGTTAGTTTCCATATTATTGATGTGCATTCTAACGAGCATCAATATCTATGAAAAAAAAAAAAAAGACTGGTGTCAGGGTTCCAAGTAATACACCCATGGCAAACAGAACTCCAAGGCAAGTAGGTTCCTCAAAGAATATGTTTATTGGATATATCATATTAGCACAGAGTGGTGAAAACAGACTCTAAAGCTTCCCGTGGTTTTCACCTAATTAAAAGCAAAACTTTCCCCCCTTTCCCAAACAGTCAGCACATGGTCCAATCAAGGACCCAGTTTGTGGGGGCAATAAGCTGACTTTGTATAAATATACAAAAGTATGAAGGCTATTGCTTAACGCATTGTAAGCCGCCCTGAGTCTCTGGAGAAGGGCGGAATATAAATCAATTTTTTTTTTTAAAAAAAAGTGCTGTCTGGTAGCTTGGAAACTTCATTCCTCCTCTCCTCAGCCACCTACGGGAATGTCCTTGGTTCTTAGGGGAAACTATTTTGTTTTGGCTACAAAACTTCAACTATTTCTATTCCCCCCCTCCCTATCCCTCCAAGATGGTCTCAGTCAGGTCAGCTTCACAGTTGACAACTGGTTAGTGGTATTCATATTGCAGTTTGACTAGCATCATTATCTGTTCTTATTAGTTAATTTTAAGTATACACTCCACATTCCACATGTTTTCCAAAGAAAAGATCACCTTGTAATTTCCAAATCTGGATTTCCCTCTTTGCTAATTAACATAATCAGAATATTCAAATTGTAGCTATCATGCTATTGCACATCACATTTTTCTGGTGGATAATATAAAGAGATGTGGTATTTTTACAACAATTGGACCATAAGACCCTCCAATTTATTAGGTATGTCAGATGTCAATTTCAATTAATAGCCAATGAAGTTTTCCAGGGACCAAAACTTGACATTAAAAGACAGAGTTTGTGATGCATTTAATGTGAAAAATTAAAATCTCCTTCAATAGTCAACAACTAGAACCTTCAAAATGACACATTAGGCTGAGAGTTTCCCCAAATAACCCTCCAAAGAGTATGTTTGCATTCTGAAAATATAGTTCACCTCCTCTTTGCTTATCCATTGTAATCAGTGTAATCATTCAGAATTTTATCAGTTGAATCTCTGATAAACTTTTACTGTTATTGGCTGAAATATTATATGCAAAGATTATTCACCAGGTATTTTATCAAAATGAAGAGATACAGGATGCTACAGGTGTCAGTCTTCGATCTTCTGTTGCAATATTTTCATTAATTATTTGGATGAAGATGTGAAAGACATGCACATCAGATTTGCAGATGATACATTATTTGATGGGATAACGTATACCTTAGAAGACATACAATTCAAAATGAACTTGGTAGATTAGAATAGAATTTTTCAATCTTTTTACCCTGCAGGATCTGTTGAAATAATTGTTATGTCTCAGATAATCTCTGCATAGAAATTATTAATTAAATATACAGCTCGAATACATTAGTGTGATCAATAAACTGGCTTGTGATATCTAAAACTCCCAGCCATTTCATGGAACACAAAGTTCAAATGATGGTATTTATTTATTGGAAGGCAAAATCACGAAACTGTGGCTCACTTATTTTGGCCATGTCATGCAGGGGAATTCATTGGAGAAAGCAATTATATTTGGAAGAGTTAGCAGCAAAAGGAAACCAGGCTGTCAAAAAACCATGGTGGTTGGACACCATCAAAGTTGACACCAGCCAGAGCAGAAGAAGTTATGCAAGATTGGAAGATGTAGAGAGACCTGGCCCATAGAATGGCCAAGAGTTGGACAGGACTGAATGGATAACATCATCATCAACAACAATCTCTTCCACAATGCCTATTAACCTCCTTGCAATTCTAAAGTTCTGCAGAAGTATAGGCTGCATTAGAGATGGGCTGAAAGTAAAAGAATGAAATTTAGCAGGAAGTGCAGAGCTCTTCACTTACAAGTCAAAGGCACAGATGTAGAGTAGGGGACACCTGTTTTGATAATGTCACATCAGTGGTGGGTTGCTACTGGTTTGCCCCAGATTGGGCAAACCGGTAGTGGTGGCGGTGGGAGGCTCCGCGCACCTGCCTGGACATCTCTGTGTATGTGCAGAAGTGTTGTGCATACGCACAAGCGCATGCGCATCCATGAGCAAACCAGTAGCGACGGGATTTGAAACCTACTACTGTGACACGTGTGAAAGAGAGCTAAATAGTAGTTGATTGCAGTGAGAATATAAGTCAGTAAAGTGGAGTGACTACAAAAAAAAAAATGCAAATCCACTTTAATCAAGTAAAACAATCTATCCAATTTACTTTTTTAAGCTCAGATCTTGCTTCCCCACTGTGTTCGGCTCAGAACACCAAACTTAAGAAAACTTAAGAAAAAATTGGAACAGGTTCAGAAAAAGATGGCAATCCAGGGATTAGAAATTAATGAAATCATGATTTTTAAATTTTATGATTCTCTAGTGATGATATTTTATTTTCTATCCACAATGATCTTCTTGTGTTTTTCTTAAAAAAGAATTAATAAATTGTTAAAAAATTAATAAATAATAAAAAAAAACTTTACTTAAAAAAAGAAAGAAAGAAATTAA